GGGATAATTTGCTCAAAATACAACAAAAAAATTTTAACTTAAAAACTAACCAAAAACTCCAATATCAATGATATAGATTTTGCCACATACCCCACTTTTACTAACTTTTTAATTTTTAATTTTTTTTTGTTATACACCAAAATGACCCTATAAATATATGTACCAAAGGTCAATAATATTTAACCTCACAAAAAATAGAGAGAGAAGAAGTTGCCTCCTCTCGATTAAAATTTACTGTGAGAAAATTTTTGGATTACTAATTTCTTTTGTTTGTTAATTGTTTTTAAGTGGTCTTTGTGACAATTTGGACCTACAACATTTTGTTAAGTGGTGTTTGCGACAATTTGGAACTAGAGTAAGCTTTGCTAAGATATGCAAAAGAGTGAAACAGATCTTGGTATTGTAACATAAAATATCGTCACTCAAGGGATGTGCAATGCCGATAAGGTGAAAAAGCTTGGGGTCTATTTTGTAGCCTCCGCCTCAAAAGAGTGAAACATGATGCATTGATCTCGGGTTTGCGTGGGAAAGGCCTACAACAAAGTGAAATGGATGCATTGTGTGTAAAAATAAAAGGAGATGGGCTTCTACTTCGTTAATGATGACACGCAAATTCGGAATTCTTAACGGTATCAGCTCATTACTATAAGCTGCGGCTATGATCACTCATTACTCAAATAACGTGATACAAGACAAGGCTTTTGCCTAAAGTTGGAATTTCATTGGTTTCAAAAAAAACAAAAATTGGAATTTCATTAGTTTCAAAAAAAAAAAAAGTTGGAAGTTCATCTTGCTATTGTGCTACGTTAAAGAATTTTCAGTGTATAATGTGATAAAAAAACGTGTGAATTCATATTTTAAATAAATTCCATTACTTTTAAACGAATATATGGATTTTACCATATTTATGATTTTTGTATACATTTTCGCTATAACTTTGTGATTTTTTTTCCTACTATTGCATTCAAGTATGATCTTTGTTTTTAAATTTAACTACTACTCTAAATAATTGGTGATAAACTAGATTTGTAAGAAATTTATGATGCTATTTAAAAAAAAAACATATAACGAAAAAAGAAAGAAATATGATTCTATTTAATAATTTTGTTATAGTTATCTTTTTCATTCACCACTTCCTATTTTTATACAATTTTCGACCTAATCATTCCTTATAGCCCGGTTTCTATTATGTAAGAATGATTGTTACCAAAAGCGTGGTGGAATAGTGGTAACACAAAAAAGTTTATTCTCTAATGTCTAAGTTTCAAATTTTTTTTGGAACGGAGAATAATTTTTTAAATCAGAATATCTAAAATCTGACTCCGAAAACCGAAAAAAATGAGCCAAAGTTCGGGCCTTCAACGATTTATTAAAACAATGAAAAATTGATTGTTTAGGAGACATGTAATAGTCTCTCTAACTCGATGTCTACGTCCATGAGCATGACACCTCTACTACCAATCCAAGTAATTTACCATAACTTTACGATTTTTCTATAATATATATTATATTTATTACGTCTCATACAACACATTATGAGATTATACATCTGATCAAAATGTCATGCTATGAGTAAGAAACAAAATAAATACTAGGAGTGAAACAATCATAAGTTGCTTTTTATAATAATTTAGATGTTTTTGATGATCTTCATGCATGCATTCGAATAATCTTCTATGCATGACATATACTTCTCCACATATTCTGTTCTCATCGC